ACCATGCCTGACAGAATTACAGATTTATCAGGCATTTGAAGGACAGATGAAACATTCCCACATTTTCTGCATCAGTCACTTCTATTTGGTTCAGTTTAGTATAAACAATCCCCCTTATTTTGCAACTAATTGAAGAATTAATATAAAAGGATTGAACACCTGTTGCTCTGTTGGCAGAAAACAGCAATTACGAGGTTTCTTTGCAGTGGACTTAAACTACAAAAACAAAAAATTGAAATAGAAAAAGAAGAAAACATACTGGTGACCAGCATCCTTTTGAATCAGCAGAGGATATTACAGTTTTCATTCAGATTGTGAGTGGTCCCTGCTAAGCTTCATTAGTTGATGGTCTCCTCTCTATCCCTGCCTCCCCCTCTGCCATTAAGCCACTGCCTCTTAAGCTTTTTCCATTACCTTGGAGTAGCTCTGATTCACTCAACCTGCTCTTTCCTTTTCCCCATACACTTTAAGACAGGCTTAAAATCCATTGTACATCCACCTAACTGTCATGCAGATCTTCTTTAGTAATTTCCTATTACAAACATTAATCACTGAAAATAAATGTCACTAGAAAGAGAGACTAAAGCCATTTTCATCTCCTCTTTTTATTCCTTATCTAGGAAAGTGGCTAGTTAAGCCTCAAGCTGAGGTAGAGAGAGTCAAACATAGGGTCCTCTAAGCAAGAGATTTTTTGAATAGGAAGGGAAAAGGAAAACAATAACCAAAACACAAGCCAGCATCAAATCCACTTAAAATAAACATTAAGTTTCTACCCTGATGCAAAACTTAAAACAATTAAACGTTGGAAACCACCACATTTTGTTATGGTCACCTGCAAGAAAAGTAGAGCAAGACACGCAGAGCTTCAAAATACCCTGGAGAAAGACCTATTTGCTGTTAACTTGGGAGTTCTAGGACTGCAGCCCTCACCCCGACATGGAATAGACACATTTCACCCTCTTTAGTCCACAGAAGTCTGGAATGTCCGTAGCCCCCAACAGTGATGTTCCCCTAACCACAGCACCACAGAGACATAGCTCAGCTCTTCTGCTTTTTTCACCAAACCTTATTTTCTAGCAAAATTATCGCTATTACTATTATTAATTATCAACTACTAAGTTCTCCTCCTACTGTCTTTTTATGGAAAACTACATGGAAAGAGACAGTATCAGTTTTTCCCAACAATTTTGGAATGAGCATCAGTGGTCCACATGCTCCTACTTCGGCAATAATGCCTTTCATCACATTGAAGAAACCTCATCTTTTTAAGGTCATGTTCAGAATCAGGACTCACAAACCCACAGTGGCTATACAGGGACAGTGCTTTTCCCTTTCGCGTTATAGCTGTTTCTGCAAATGGCTAAACTGTGAAAACACTATTTTTTCTAAGAAACCTGCTTATGAGATGTACACATCACAAAGGATTTTTTTTTTGTTTTCCAAGATAAGGAAGACTGAAAACCAGCATGAAATGGGAATGCACAACTTGGAGCAAAAACATCCACAATACACCTTTGTCTCCCTACTCAGACTGGCACCCAATGCACATTTATTTGCCATTGTGCATTCTGGTATTGCTTTTTTTAATAAGGCATGCCAGATGTACAGGGGATGCGGAGCCTGAGGAAGGCTAATTTTGTCTGTGGCACTTGACCTACAGTGGTGGAGGCATCTGACGCAAGGGACCTGTCACCACCAATGGTGCCCAGTGCTTTGGGAATGGGACTTCTCCAAACCCTGCTGAGCTAGGAAGATGTGTCAGAACTTCAGTCAGGGCCAAAAATGACAACTGCACTGTGGGTCAGGGTCAGGCTGACATTCTGTGTAAGGAATTGGGTGCTAAGACCCCAGAGTGGGATTAGGCTGAGCGGCACAAGATTCAAGACAAAGTGTAAACACAAGCGAGGTACAGGCCATTTGGACCTGTGTTCATAACACTGAGTTGTACAGGCACATTGAAAGAATATCAGAAATCCAAGGAAGAGCAGGATCAATTTGTGATACTGTCCAACATTATTCAAACAGCACCATGTAACATTTTTTTGAAGTATAAGGACAGAAAGAATTGTTGTTTATTTTTTTTCTTTAAAAAGAATGTGCACCTATACAACAGCAACAAAAACAACTATATAGGACAAGCTATTTCTATGAAGAAAGAATAAAGCATTAAATATTTGATATTTTTCTGAATTTATAAATCAAAATAAACTTTTAAAGCTTTCTTTGTTATTGGAATTAAAAGCATCAGTCCTCCCTTAAGTGTCTGCAGTACATAGTCACAGTCCATTAAGACAATATGTTAGCATTGCTCATAACAGGATGTAAATGAAATAATCAAGTTATCAGGACTATTTCAACATCAATAAAGCCTCAGAGTGATTATTATGTACAGCCATGACACAATACCTTTTTGCATACTTTCCCTGATCAGATTAAATTGGTGATGGATTCCTCGATGGCTCAAGTGTGCTCCAAGGAAAGCTAGAAGGTTGTACAGTTAACTCCCAGGGTGTAACTCTAAACCATACAACCTACTACCTCAACCCGGATGCACACAGCTTCCGACGGTGACCATATAGTCTTCTTCATTTCTTCAGCCTTTCTTTGATATGTGACAGCAGCCACAGACCTATATATTTCCCATGGGGGTAGGCTTTCAACAGCAGTTACTCCCCACTTTTCAGATGATAAGGCATACTCTTAGATTTTTCTACTGCAGAGGTAGAATTTCTGTTCTATTCTGTTTACATATGTATAAAGATATATACATGTGTGTTTTATGTGTGTATATATATATACATACATATTTGATAGGAATAATGCAAGTCTAGCTACATTTCTGGAAAGAAATGACATTTTTGTCTTATTTTACAAATAAATAAAATATAAATCTCTATTTATTTTTCCTACATTTTCTGAATGTAATACCATGTAATGTTATATTGAATAAAGCCTGCAAAGCCTCATTGGAAACCCCACAGTTCCCTCACATCATTTTGCAAATTTTAGTGAGCTATTAAGCCAAAGATGTTTAAAGCAACCAGTAAAACAACACATCGCTTAATCAAGTTTGAAGATAAGGCAATGGACAAAAAAAGCATTCCAAAAACAATCTATAGTTTTGTACACTCAACTGGGCTTGTTGCCAAATACCACTGCAATCTGTGCTACACAAAATTTTGCCAGATCACCACACTGACACAGACCCATAGAAGCGAGCTTGTGCAGTACGTTTCGACACAAGATCGGATCTACGGGTTTATGCCAATTGGCATCGCTGATTAGTATTTTTCCCTTTAAAGTGAGATGCAGAAGACTTTAAACAAAAAAAACATACGAAGCAATGTAAGAACCAGAGTTTAAAGAGTAAAATTATTACCATGTATTGCAAGGAAGGCTACTTCAAACTTCACTACATAAATGGTGGATGCATCAAACAAACCAAAGACTTGTAACTAGTTTGGGGTTTGAACAAGGAAGAGAAAACATTCTTTTTACAGACTGATAGCACAACAGTGTTTTGTTTTCAGCAGGAATTAATGCCCTTTTGCACACACTTTGCCTTACCGATGAGCTCTCAATTCCCAACAACTTGCATCTGGCTATGGTATGCACACAGCAGGCAAGACTGGAATCCATAATTGGACATGACATAGAAGTGAACAATACAGGTTTGTCCTTTGTGTCTAAACTTATATCATATACTACAAACCAAACTAAAAATCACCCCACCAACTCTGAAAAGCAATAAGGCTCAGTGGATTGCAGCTCCCATACAATGTTGTATAGACTGCTTAGATATTTATTCATATTACAGGGTATCTAAGTACTGCTTGACAATAACTTGTTGATTAAACAACACCTATTTACCAAAGCAAAATAGTTCATTTGTCTGTTTTATTCACTAATCCTCCCATCAATGCTATTCCCTAATAATACGAATGCAAGCAGAAATGCAATCTTGCAAAACTTCAGGATTAACTCCTACCAAAAATGCTTTCTTCTTGTGACCGGCAAGAAGTATGATACACATTCTCACACACTGAATGGAGGGTGTCCTACGCAACTGACTAAAAGCAGGTCTTTTGAGGCAACAGCCTGTAATTCAGATAGGTGAGACACAGATTCGGTTTTATAACTTATTATATGCTAAATAACAGCATTGATAAATTTTCAAGGGAATGAATGCTGCCAATAACAATTTTTTTTTAATCAGGGCGATGTTTCATTTTCTTGCAGACTGCTACATGTATTTCTACTACAGTAGTGACATCTGAACATCAGTAAATGACTTTTTTTTTCTTTTCTTTTTCAATTTAGTGAATAAAATCTTTCATGTTCAAGCATACCCTTTTGCATTAAAAAAAAAAGTTTTTATTTTCTAAATCAGTCTATTTTAAGCCTGCTTTCACTTTATGTACAATACTTCATCATTCAGAAAGAATTATATTTCTATAACTGCTCTGTCTGTTGACACTAAGAATATGTAAGACAAGGACTCAAACTATAATAGTTTTCCTAGTATCAGAAATAAGTATGCAGACTGCATATATCATTTACTAAATTATTGTAATATATGCTATAAAATTGCTTCTATTTTTTTGTGTGTGACTAGAAGAGATATTTCACATTTCAAAGATAATTGGTCACTGCATTATAGTTATATACTAGCAAATAGATACATGTACTATAAATACACTAGTATTACAAATATACTAGTGAATATGTGTATTACATATTTACTAGGCACAACTAAAGAACAAATGATGTCTCGATCTTCCCATTCACTCTAAATCTTCATAGAAAGGCACTGTATAAAGGCTACACAGACTACAATATTCCCAACAGAAAGTAATCATAACAAAAGTTTAATACATATCTGTGAACTTATATTTGTAGGCTCTCTTAAGGAATGAAATTATTTTAAACCTAACCACTTCATGTTCTTGTCATTACCTTTATTTTTTAACAGAAGAAAATATTTAAGATCACTGTATTACCTTCGCTGACTTCTGGTATAATTAAATTCTTCAGCTTCCTTTTTCATTTTAATGTTTTTTCTTTCACTAAAATAAAAATAAAAACAAAACAAAAACAAAAACAAAGTAAGAGAAAGATTTTGAAATACCTGTTTTATGTAAAGTGTTTTCAGAATAACATGAAACACAAAATTAGTAATTATGCCTTTGAGATACAAAACCGACACGCTGCTGACTCCCCTCTCAGGGCCATGGGAAGACATGCTGTGAACTCGTACACTTTGGCAAAGGGACTATTTCATTTCACATCTCCTAGTCTTCCTTCACCCCACAAATATTTCAGTTTTATTAGGAATTCCAGAAAGGAAGAGCATGCTTAACAAAACCAAATAGATTTTATCCAGTAGTGCATACGATGAGGTAATTTGGTCCAGAACCTCATAAAAATACTGGAATAAACTAAATGACTTAAGTCAAGAAATGTTCGCAAATCTTTATTAAAAAAAAAAATGAAAAAAAGGAAAAGATGTGATTACTATGATCAGATGTAGAAATTTTAAAAGTTCTTTTAAGTTAATGCAAGTCTTGGTTTCTCCACATACTAAGGTACTCATGACATACATAATTATTCTAACAAAACAATTGGGAAGGGCAGTATCATCATATATCTAAGAAACTTTTTCTGGTACAAAATGGGTGAAGGGAGGCATATGTGTCATATACATAAGGTCTCCGTTCAGCAATTTCCCAGAATTCATTGCAGAAAAACAAAAATAAAAGGTAGCAAAATTAGCACATAATCTTAGAAAGTTATTGTCTAATCAGTAATGAATAGGAAGTGGAATACACATTAAAACAATTCTATTTTGCATAGTCATAGAATATTTATAAAAACTTTTATTTAGACAAACACCTATCATGAACATTTTGAAAAGAAAAAAAAATCAGAAGTCCTCACAAAAAAGACATTGTAAATTTCAAAGTAATTTCTAGCTGAGGACATCTGTATTTTTACCATAAATTAAAAAGGCTAGGAAAATATATATATAAAAAAAATCCCAAGTACATAAAACACTGATTTGGCTGAGCTCTTCAAAATCTGTCAGTCAGAATGAAATTTGTTATACACTCTTCTAATTGCCTAGTAATATGTTACAACTGACAAACGCTTGAAGAAAAAGGCTCTACTGCAGCGTCATATGCCGAAAACTTACTTTCTCTCTGCATGCACTTATCACAAACACTCTGAATGGGTATCTTAAATATTGTTTTCAGCTATTCCTGGACAAGTGCTGCTTCACTGAACATCTTAAAATAGTCACTGTTACTAGCTGCTAACCAGGCTTACTTCATGAATGTCCCGATAATGTGCCTTTTATTCCAGTGCTTATTACACTGATTTCTGTGTAATGGATTTAGATACAAATTGTAAAAACTCTTATATGAATTTACTCAATAATAACTTTAATATACTGTCTACAAGAGCAAACGTTTCCTATAGTTTAACACTTTTTTTTTACCTCTTCCCCTCTTTAGAAACTGAAAGCATGAGTCACACTATAAAAGAATTTACTTTCCTTAGCAACCAGATTAAATACCCACAACTTTCTTAGAGATAACCAAAGCTTAGACTGAATAAATGTAACATTAAGATCTTTGCATAACTCCAGTGCTTAGCTAAGACAAAATGTGCCTAACCACTTATTTCTATAGACCCTCGATTTTTTGTTTACTTTCTATTTTTAGCAGTATTAGATCAAACATACACCCAAAAAATTAGTTTGAAAAAGTGTGAACAGCTGACTACATTAAAATTAACACCCTTAGATCCAAAACAACATGTTTAAAACAGCTTTAAAAAGAAAAAGAAGAAAAAAGAAAAAGAAGCTATACCTGATATGAAAGGTACGTTTTCACCCAGTGCCAAACACTGCTATATGAGCAGTAGTGAAAAAACCCAAGCAAACAAGAAATTAGTTCATTTTGTTTTTTTCTTTTTACTAAAAGAATCAATCTCTCAGGTTCATTTTGTTACACTGCTTTAAGCAGCTCTAACACATCCTGATGTCTCTGTAGTAAAACATGCCAGGTTTTGGGGTTTTTTTTTTGGAAGCAGGATAGTCACTTTTTTTTTTTTTCTGCACTCTTGTATGTAGGACAAACTCAGATTTGTTTCTTCTTCTTAGGGCTCCTGTTCTTTCTCGGAAGAAGACCAGGGTGCCTGTCTTCTCTCTCTCTCTCTCTTCTCGGAATTCCAGGCACAAAGCACTGCGCAAAAGCTGCACCAATCCTTGCCGCAACTGCCTGCACAGGACTAGAGGTGGGGAGAGACCAGAAAATTCACCTCGCCCCTGCGCCAGTCTTATAGATGGGGATTGCACAAATCTGCCGGAGCAAAGGGGTGAAAAGGCAGGGTGCCAGTTTGCTACACTGTGCTGCAATGATTTCACGTTCAGTGTTGTCGCCCCGTTTGCCCAGTTCAAATGCCTGTTCATTAAACAGGAGGAAGGAAAAAAAGAAAAAAGAAAAACAACCAAAAACCACCAAAAATATAAAAACAACTTTTATCCTTCAGACACTTGGGAGGGCAGTTCTAAACTACACATCAGCAATAAAATAAAAAGCCATATACGTTTAAAATGTAGTTATGAAGTACAAATATTCTGCTTATATTTTCTTTCTTTTTTTTCTATCTGGAGATAAGAAGCAGAATTTATCAGGCGTGAAAGGGACAGCCTCCTGGTGGTGTGCCAAAAAAGCCAGAATAAAGGCAAAGTTGTGCTTCAAAGCTCAATCGCTTGCTGAGTCTGGCTAAAGTCAAGTATTAAGATCCACCATTTTCTGAGCCATGTAAGAAAAGAGGAAAAAAGTCAGAATGGGCACTGCTTTCCAAGTCTCCGTTGGCACCATCACAAAATCTCAGCCGTAAGGTCACATGATGCTCTGCCAAATGTGGAGTGCATTCCCATAAACCATTCTGCTGATACTGCGAAGGCAGCTATTGTCTAGTTTATACCCAAAGTTCAGCCCACTCTTCATTGAATTAGCTGAAAAACGCATCACCTTTGGGGGTTGGGAGCCATGGAAACGTCTACCTGGCAGGCTGCCCACTTTTTCTGCCCATCAACCAGAGATGGAATTGTGCTGCCTAATGTAATGATGACGAGGAATGTGAAGAGTCGTCCAAAGTGAATCTGATTCTTGCAAAGCCTGCTTCATTTGCACAGCAAACCCTGGCTTCTTGTTGTTAAAAAGGGAAGGGGGAGGAAAAAAAATTAAAAAAAAAGAAAAGCGCCTGTCTCTTAAATGTAGCAATTAAAGGTCTAATAAACATGCCTAGTCTGCAACTTTCCTTCATAACATACGGAAACGGTTCCCAAAATAAAGCAGTAGGTATAACACAAGTTTTCTGATTTAAAGTAGCACTCACTTTTTCCCCCAGCTAATGTGGCATCCCCTGGACATTTTTGCTCCCTAAAAGAAAGAAAAAAGAAAAAAAAAAAAAAAAAAAAGGAAAAGGACACAGCAGATCTCTCATCTCTTCTTTTTACCTGTCTTTATTACGTCCTCATTTTATCTAGCACAAATTACACGTGTGTGGCAATACCCACTAGTAACAGTGGGGATGCAGTCCTGCTGCAATCTTGCTCAAAGCAGTCCCCTGAGAAAGCTGGTTCAGCTTCCAGCAGCACAAAACCCTTCATCGAAGCCCTCTTATCTTCACAAGCAAGCAGGACAGCTGGTCTGCAAGTTTGCAAACCATCACATTTGAGGCCAGTCAGCACCCTCCCTTCTTCAAAACGCATTTAATCTAGATTTCGTGAGCAGAGATGAAATCAGGAAGAATTTATAAAAGATGCAAGTGTCTAAATAGGCTAAGTAATAGACACAACTTCTCTGCTACGGACCTGAAATTTAGATTTTACCCATCTATTGTAAAATGTCACCTAAAATGTCACTTCCAAATGAAAATACCACGTAACCTACTGAGCCACAAACACATGCCCTCCCAGCAACTAAAAACCTCATACAGAAGAATTTATCTTGGAGATCAGTGTTGTGAACAAATGAACAAAAATCCACTCACTGCTTCTACACCATGAAGCTTAATAGCTACTGCAAAAGAGATACTAAAAATGTGGTAATTTCTCTGATCCCCCAATTAATAAAAACGGAGCCATGGGAGGAGCCTCTCTACCTATTAGCATCTGTACTAATGCTCCCACGATGAGGAGGTTGCATGCTAAAGAGCTTAGAGCTAAAAACCGGTAAGAAAGAGCAAACAAAGTGGGAGACAACAGGCTGGAAACCGCAGCGGGAGGACAGGAAAAACCATTCCCAGGGACACTGTGGGCTGTAACTCTCTAGCTCGGCTACTTTCATGTTTTGTTTTACAGTTCTTTCCAGTTTCACTTTATTTACCTGGAGGAAATTGAAGGTTCATTACCGAAGGAAGGAAGCGTGAGAACGGGGGCTTTGAAGTGGAGGAAGACAGTTACGAGGGCGGCACAGCCCTCGGAGGGAGGTCCCGAGGCTGTCCACCAGCCCAAGGGCTGCGGGGGCTGGCTGCACCCCCAGCCGGGACTGGGGCGGTGCAGTCGGCAGGCTGGCAGGCAGCACTGAAGCAGTCCCTGCCTTGCTCCCAGCAAATCCTGGAGACCTGCACCCGGGCTCTGGAGCGGGCAGGTGTGGCTGGGAGGAGGAGAGCGTTTGGGGCAGACTCTCTGGTAGACGAAGGGTGGTGTTGGAGGTTCCTGTAAGATGGGGAGAAGGAGCAGCCACCACGGCCCAGCATTGGAAAGGGGCCGGGAGGAGGTGCTGGGTACATCGGGGGATGGGAGCGACCCTGCTCGGCCAGCTGAGCCAGTGCAATTGGGATCCACCCTGCTCTGGTCAACTGCTGGGAGCTGCCTGGAAGAAGAGAAACTTGCTATGACCTCAGTAAATCAGTCTACAGCTTAGTTCCTCTCTTTTACAGGCTTTGAGCTTTCCAAAAGCCAGCAGCCAGAGGCTGATGCAGTGACATGGAGCAAGCTGGCTCAAATGATCTTTTGAAGTGAAATGCCATGCTCATAGTTTTGAATCCAGAGACCCTTTTCTTTTCCCTGTGAGCTTAAAGCTGGCTGCCTAGGTGCTACCAGTAAGTGGAAATGCTGTTTGTCACTCCAGCTATATGTTGGAGTGACAATAATCCCACAACTTGGACCACAGGGATTGAGCTGACTGCCAGGGATCACAAGCAAACTGTGTGTTGTTATGCCTCAGCCATAAAAATGACATATGGTGGATTCTCCCGTAAAGATCATTGGGATTAGATAATATCTTTGAGATTATTTAAAACTAAATTAATTTCTCCAGGCTCATAAAACTCAGAAAGCCAATTCAAATGTCTTTAGTTAACAATTATGTAGAAACAGAAACCTGAGGTTCCATTTTTATCATTTTAGTAGGTTTTTTTTGAGTCAACAGATCAAAACAGATTGGTTTGGGTTTGGTTTTTTTTTTTTTCTGCTTGTTTGTTTGTTTTCCTAATAGGACAAGAGAGACTGAGGCTCATTTCATTCCACCTTACATTTCACTATTAACCGTAAAAATACCTAGGCCACAATACATCCATGTCACAAGGGTGCATCCCACAAACCCAGATGCATTTCAAACCATGGTGAAAAATAATGGTTTCATTAGAATTGATTTGAAACCTCCAAGTAAGCAACAACAAATCATATCCTGTTCAAATTTACTACTATTATCAGTGGTGATATGTGAAAAGGGTAAGGAAACAGCTCAAGTTTCAGATCTCGGAAGGGTGTTTGCCACTAATTACAAACAATAGGCAGCCAGAGCTAGGCAAATCTGAGCAGCAGCTTTTGAGGGACGACAGGCACAGAATACACAGAATTTTTATTTTCCACATGTGGAAAAGCACTTCAATATGTGGCTATCCCTCAGTAACAAGCATTCACCAATATTCAAGAAGGATGCTAAAAAGCTGTTAAAAAATCACTTGCATATGTGCCCGACAGCAATTAGAGATGTAGCTGAATCTCAGATTGCCTTGCCTATAAATTAATATAACGGCAACACAAAGGGAACCAAAAGTACATATCTGCAGGAGTGCTTGGCCCTGTCTACCCACAGCTGGAGGAGGCAGGGAGGCCATGTTGGAGAAGGCTGCATAGGGCTGACCTCTCCACAGGAGAAGAAGGCACTGATTCTTCTTCCACTGGGGAGGCAGGAAGGGGAAGGCAAAGAGGACAGGAAACGTGGGCTGGGCTGAGGGTTTCTGCTCTGTGCCTGTAATCAGCTCCCACAGGACAACCAGCACCTCAACCTTCGTAGGTTAATGGGCAATTTGCAAGCTAACTGGAAGGGAAAAGCTGGAGCCTTTCCCAGGCAATAGCAACCTGCTCAAGATGTGAGTGAAAAGTTGAGAGAGAACCAGAGAGAAATACAGCGATGCTCTCAGAATGAAGGGAGAGAGGGAAGAAGGGAATAGGCTCTTTCATATGATTGTTCTTGAACACAAAAACAAGGTTATCAAGTACACCAATTTAGTTACTAAAATTAAGTTGGAAACACATAAAGTGAAGAAGACATGCACGTGCTGGACACATTTCTGTATAACTTTAATGTACTGTATGGCACAGCAGAACACAATAAAATGGTCTTGCTCTGCAGATTGCATTCTCAACGGCCCTAATAGATAGAGGTGACAAAAATTATCTGCAAAACATATGCAAATGAAAAGTTATTATCGGTTTGCTATTTTATTTTGTGATCAAATGGCACTCTGCTTTCTCTTTTTTTTTTTTTTCCTGCCTCAAAGTTAACAGCACCAAAGTAAGAGACTTAAGGAAGATGTTTTATGGTAAGAGCCAGAGATGTCTTACATCAGGAATTTAACTGTAATTTTTCCCTTTCGAAAATTGTCACGGTCGGTCTTGCTTTAAGTTCCTTCTCCTCTAAACTTTTTGCTGTGATATCTGCAACCTATTTAACTTTTGGCCACTTTGGCTGTATGGCTGGGTACCTGAACTTCACAATCTTTTTTCTTCTTTGAAAATCTTTTAAAATAAAAAGCATGAAAAACTGTGTAATGCACATCCAATACTCTTGTTCACACAATAAAAGCCTTCTTGACAGATGTTTTAAGAAGATCAGCTATTCCCTTAGAGCAAGTATTCATAAATAGCAAATATAATGAATTTAAATAGCTAATTCAGATGAGCCTTTGTCAATAACTATTCCACAGTATAAAGAAATCTCCCACTGCAAATGGGAGCCACCCTTCTATTCTTCACAGGGAAGCGCATTTGTGGTGGAATAAGCAGCATGGCTGCTATGCTGAGGGAGGGCTGGGTCTGAGAGGAGCCCATAGTGAGGCCAAGCAAAACCCAGGCTCTATTGATATTCCTGTTTCTTAAAAAACTTAGGCTTTTACCGGTGATCCTTCAGGCACAAAAAGATATGACTCCTCCACAAACAATGAAACAGTAACTCAGACAGGTAAAAATGCTGCTGTGTTATATCAAACCAAACCTGATGACAGGAAGAGCTCTGACACAGACATTTCCTTCAGCATACTTGTTTCAGCCTCCATTTACTTCACCACTGTCACGCCAGAAACATTACAGAAGTTCAAAGCAAGAGGTACAACATTCAGTGCCCTCACATACACCAAGTCTTAGACATAGATAGAAAAACATTTACATTCCCTTTAACTCATTTGCCTCTTGCAGGTCTAAGAGCAAATGCAACTCAGCATTGTCATCACTATTCATCAGATAAAAAAATCAGAAGCATCTATTTTTTCCCCAAATTTAAAAGCGTTTAGCATGTCACTCTTCAATATGCCTAAGTATCATGGCAGTTAAATTTTCTTCCAGTTCTAAAGCCAAAGATATCAATGATTAACTTGTTTTCATAAACAATTTATCATTATTGTATAAAGCATAGAATACCTGACATATATATTCTCATGCTCTGTGTTAAGTACACTGCACTGAATCATAAGTACTACCTGGAATTAAATAATTTCTAAATAACACCTATGTAGTTTGTACCATCTTGACCACTATCTTTGAAAACCAAAATCTGAAGATACCTTGATCTAACTCCTGGTCACTGGAGTAGGACAGCAAGCACAGAGAATTAGCTAGCAAAGAGAGTAAACAACAAATAATTCCTTACACGCCTTCTACTTCTGATAAACAAAGCAATGTTGCTTTCTTTCCTTAAAACCTCTTCAAGACAAGTATAGCCAGAATTGAAGTCAGAAACTGTTTCATCAGTTCCTGATTTAGCAGCGTGCTCAGTGCCTAGACCTGCCCCAGTGTAACTCCAGTCCCAGTGCTCCCCTTCAAGAACTGCTGCAATGCTTAGTAGAGTTGCGCACCTACATATAAGGAACACCTTCACAACAGCAATCCTCTCCCTAGCTTCAGAATGAAAAAATCCTCATGGGTCCAGGATCGCACAGACATAACTCAGCAAAACCACTGATGGCTTCCTCTTCCCTACTGCCCAGCAGGTTCTGCACCAAGGATTCTTCAGGGCCACTTAATTTTCCTAGGACTCTTTCTTGACCTGAATATAAACCAGGAATAAAAAGGATGCCTCAACAGCATTCTTTGTCCCATTGATTTCTCAATCAGTGATAAACTGATTGAGAAATAAAAGTTTATGTTTTTACTTCATGCCTTTCCCATGCCACCATGTACAAATCCTGGCTGCTCAGAACTTGAAATTTTACACAATGTTATTTAAAAGGAGTATTTTTCTTAGCTGTCTTGCTCTAAAAATAGTCTTCAGTGGAACATGTGCTGTGTCTCACCTATCCCTTAGCTGTTATAACTGACTACAGTCTCACACCTCAATATAGCACAGTTCAGTGCTCATAGGCAGAGAGAAAATAAGTATTTTTGAAACATGCTTAATTATTTCAGGAAAGAAGTTACATATGCCTTTAGGTCCGTATATTCATGCAAATCTGGACGGTACTTTCCAAAAGGCAGGTATATAAGTTCACATATCCAAATGCACTCTGCACGTTTTGGCAATTTAATCACAAAAATATAGCAGCCTGTGCATGCACTTCACTAGGTTACATTCTCAGCAGTTTGAGTTCTGCTAGCTAAAAAAAACCCTGGTCAGGTCATAAATCTAAGCTCAAGAGAAAGAACATGTGCATGATAACCCAGTGTAAGGTGTGTTTTTGATTCAGCAGACTAAAGGATCAATTAGTTTTGAAGCAAAATGATTAAAATTGTATAGGGAACAGTTTTCTATATCCCACTTTTCAATTTCCTTACTGTAAATTTTTGAGTCTGCAAAATAATCTCATTCCAAGCACCACAAATCTTCAAATCAAGATTTTTAAGTACTTTTATGTCAGAGCAATTAACACCTTGTACATTAAAATGTTTTAAATATCCATTGTAGCTGTTTACTTCTTCAATATTTTTAGTACAAATGGCTGATCTTTCAATTTTTTTTAGTTTAAATTGGCATAATTTTGTGAGTAAAACCTACATTTCAAAATAATCAACATCCTCAGATAACCTGAACAACATAGAGACGGAAGCAGAGGAGATCAAAGGCATGGAGCCTTCTCGGAAGATTGAGCAGGCTATGAGTGATCAAAGGCAGGGGAGAAAGGACTCTGGATCTTAACTCCTGCTTCTACTATACATGTATAATTTACAGGTTATTGAATTGAGGGGAGGGGAGCTATTTATACATTAAATATAGGTTATGGGCCTGTAAAGTTATTTAAAAAAGAAAAAAAACCTGAACTTTGATTGTTGAAAAAGTCTAGGCAGGATCTTCCACAATGCACTTTTAATTTTCTTTTTTTTTTTTCCCCAAACAGAAATAGTGCTTTCTGTTCAATGAACTGGCATTTTCTGACA